CAAGAGGAGTCAGTTTTGACTTAACCACTGAGCAGTCTCTCCAGTCCCAGACTTGCATAATTAAAATGCATAATCCTGACCAATATGTGTGTGTGTTTGTCACTTACTAAGGATCAGAATTTATTTAAAATCTATATGTCTACTATATAATTTCCTGGAAGATATGACTATATTAAAGTAACACAAGTGAAAAATGAATTTAAATGATTAGTTAATTCATGTGAATTATTTTTCTCATTAAAAAATTTAATATATAAGATACATTCTTCTATAATTTATTCCACAGAACTAAACACCAGGTTAATTTCAGTCATTGTAATAAAAGAAAAAGAACTCATGAACTGTGGACACACTAAATATCTAAAAGTTCCAAATTTTAATTGATTTATTATATGCCAGTCTTAAAGGTCACTAATTTCAAATTTGCCAAATTATTACTTTGTTAATATATATATTTCAATGGGAGATTTGGAAAACAATAAACTCTAAGGTTGCGGTCATCAACTTACAGATTCCATGTACGGAGTGCTTAATACATACTTGGTATTTTTCCAGTGCGCTACCTTAATTATTTAACCATTAAAATACTGCTTATCACAATTCATTTTGCAAAAATAATTTCGTTTTATAATGAAACTGTTCTATAATGAAACTGTGTATCAAGTAACTGGCTAGAAATAAGAAATATATAAATTGTTTATAATCTTTTGAAAATACATATTCTAGACCAAAGAATTCGACCTGTAAAGCTGAGGTATTTACATTTACTGACATTTAATTTACTTTACTATATTTAGTATATTTAATGTATTGTAATTGTCTCTGGAATTCTTTCGGGACTACTAAACAAAATTTTAAGCCACTCTGTGAAGAAAAATGATTGTTATTACAATTTATAGATTATAATTAGATAATCTGCCGAAGGTAACTCAGTTCGAATTAATCTAAACCTTGGAATTATTAATGAATTCAAAGCTTGATTATTTTGAAATCAATTGACATTTATATATTTTCTCTAAGTTATAAATGTTTTAGTGTACATGCTCAAAGATCTCAGTAAGGAAGCAGTGCATTCAAATCTGTGCTCCAAACTCAAGAAACTTACTGTAATACTTCTGAAATTCTAAGACATTGGCATTTTTATTCCTTCCTAAGTTACAATAATGCACCCCCAGAATTGAAAACCAGTGTAGAACTAGCAAGGATCATACTACAGTGAAATTTCAGTTAGTCATTTATCCAAGTTGTAAAGCTGTGTATTAAGAAATTAGATTCTGTTTTAAGCATTTCAATACTGACTAAAAAATGGGATTAATTGCCTGTTGATTTGCTAGGTTTACAAAGGTCACCATGAATGATCTCCTAATACAAATCTGGGGTTCTGGTTATTGGAGAAGTATGTGTTATCATTTATTATAAATTTTCATTGTTTCTTTGCTTTCCTTGTAAAATTAATGCATATTAATTAGTTAAGACAATGGGTTTCATTGTGACATTTTCAAAAAGGTATATAATTCTTCACATATGTACTATACTATTTACACTACATATTTATATTTTAGTGGATCACATCAAGCAATGCCATATTAGTAGGTAGTTAAAATGCAAGAATGTAAATTACAATTAGAAACTTTTTGCTTATAAGCTGCCCAATTCCTTTCACTACCAACCTAAGTGTAGTCATTCAAACAAGAAGGAGTAAAACAACCTCTTTTCCAGAGTGGATTCCTTTGTTTATGAAACATGAAACACTGGGAAAATAAGGTCAGGATACATGTTTTTCTTTAAATCATAGTTGACGCTGTCTAAATCTTGATATTTTTTCTTTTTCTTGGGACCTGAGAACTGTACAATATATTTCTCGGGTTTTCAAATTTCAGATACTTGAGACAGAGAACAAACACAACAGTGTACTCTGTGTGTTTAGAAGGTTAGAGGTTATTTGACATAACCCTTGATATATTTCCTTAGTGAGAATTCACAAAGGAAATAAAGTGTTTACTTATAAAAACCCATAAAATTCCAGAAACCTTAGAGAACGGTGTTTGAATCAAAAGATTGAAGGTAATGAAAGTATGTACTCACTCATACTTAATCCACATGTACACATATAATCCACACACACACCTTAACCCAGCTCCAAAGAGCTACTACAGTTATTTTAACACAAGTTCTCATACATCTTCCTAACAAGAACATTTTCTATTTAATCAACTTAAATTAAAAAAAGGGTCTTACGTGTCTCAGGCTAGCCTTGAACCCAATACCAAACCCAAAATAACATTGAATTTCTGATCATCTTACCTCTACATCCAGAATGGTAAGATTAAAGACATACGCCACTACACATGGCTTTATGCGGTTCTCAGTGTGTTGATACCAGGGCTTTAAGCATACTAGGCAAGCACTCTACCCACTTAGCAACAAATACAAACCTAAGTTCACCTTAAAAAATAGTTTCCAGCTCATTTTAAGATAAGTGTCATATTCTGTTGGTTGATCTTACTAAAAATGTAAATTTAACTAGAGTGTCTCTAGCTAAAATGAAGAGTTTACTGTAAATGGAAAAATTTCAAAAATACTAATTTGGGTTTCATTATTACCTTGCACCAGATGATGTTTTTCAGGTTTGAATTATATAACATTGGAATGTTTTAGTATTTTATTTGTTATTTTTACTTTACATGTATGCGTGCATTGCATAAATTTATGTAAGTGCACCTCTGTTATGCAATGCCTGCAGAGGACAGAGGGCATCAGATCTCCTGGAACTGGAGTTAGGGATAATTGTTAGCTACCATGTGGGTCCTGGGAATTAAACTCAGGTCCTTGGTAAGAGCAGCCAGTGCTCTTAACCATCTCTTCATCTCCATGGCATCAGGATTTTAAGAACACAAAATTTATCACTTATTTTTCTCAGTGCAAATATTATTGGAAGTGACAGATACTTAGCTTGAGTCAATAAATTTTATGATGGAAAATACTATATATAGATTTAATAAAACTTTATTACTTTAGACAACCAATGTTGTCTTTAAATTTTTTATTGATTAATGTAAAATCAACAGAATTTTTTCCCTGTGATGATATAAATGTTATTTTTAGGCAAATACAAACTAATTACAAAAATTTGCAGATGAATTCCTTGAATTGATAAATTATGATTCAGCAACTCTAGAAGTTTTCACAAATTTTTGCAAATTTTATTGCTATATATTATAAAATGGAAGTAAAAGACAGTGTCATGTCTTAAAGGCCTAGTATTCTGCCTACCATTCAGAAAGCTTATGAATTAAAAAATAATTATGCTTCAAATAAAATGATAAATTATTTTTAGTCAGGTGGTTAGGGATTACAGCAGAACACTACAACCCTGTTGACAAAACAAAAGTGTATATTTTATAAATTCCCTGAAATTATGTGTTGTAATAACAACACAAAATTATTTGTAGCAAAAAGATGATTTTGGTACTTGAAACTGACAGTTCTTTTTCTAGATTTTTGTCTACCAGTTGTTTGACAGCCATTTTGATATGTTCAATCATCTACATAAATAACATTTTATCCATTGTTTTATAACATAGGCTGCCTTCTTACTTAAAAGAAACATATCATGAAAACTCATCTATATTTCCTTTTTTACCTTTTATTTACTTTCTATTTATATTTATGAGTGTTTTGCCTGCATGTATGTGAGTTCACCATGTGCATGTCTGGTTTCCATGGAGTCCAAAAGACGGCAGCACATTACACAAATGGAATTGAAGTAAAAGACAGTGTTACCCACTATGAGGGTGCTGGGAACTGAACCAAGCTTCAGAATGAGCAGTAAGTGCTCTTATCTGTATAGCCATCTCCCTAGCTCTTCATTTAATTTTTAAATTTATTTTTGAGAATTTTAATCATGAGTATTGTCTTTGTATTATTTCCATCCTTCCCAGTCCCCCACCAACTCTTTGTATTTTTCCTCATTCACTCTTAATTTCTCATCATCTTTTTTATTATTTTTTTACACTTATATACATTTACAAACATACATTTGTGGAGGTATATATAAAATGCACTGAGTCAATTTAGTTATATTTATATGTTCCTGTGTCTAGGACTGCCCACTTTGGTTTGTATAAGCTCCCAGGGATCTAGTACCTGGAGAAAACTGACTCTCCCTTCCTCATTATCCATTAATTACCTTTAACTCTTCATCTTGAGGTGGGACACCATGAAATTTCCCCACGAACCTTGGCATGTCAACTGGTTTTGTCATTATGCAGATCTTGTTAGACTATCATATCATGGGGATTTTACTGGGGTAGCTCTTTTATCATGTCTAGAATGAATTAACCAGAGGTGTCTTGTCCTTATGACACTTATTTCTGTTCTTTTTCCATGATGTTCCCTGAGCCTTAGAGGTAGAGGCTGTATTGTAGATGTGTTACATAGGGCTAGGCACCTCACAGCTATTCTTCGCATTTGAATAGTTGTGGAACTTTGTGATAATCTCTATCTGTTGCCAAAAAGAAGCTGCTTTGTTAAGTGGTGAGAGATATACTTGTCTGTAAATATAAGACTACATCTTTAGAATACAGTAAGACATTACATTGGTCTAGGGAAGTGACAGACAAAGCTTTTTCTCCGGGATCTATATCTTCTCCAGTCACATGTCCTTGATTATGTTTATAGTACCAGGCAGACCCAGTAAAGAAAAGAAAAGGCTGACTATAATAGTTTCTCCATGTCTACAGAATCGTCACAAAAACAGCAGGCAGTGACTCAAACCACACTATGATGGGGAAAGAAATAATTTTATATTTCAAGGAAGTTATGTATTTTAGGTTGAACATAGAAAAAATTCTATTAGCTTCATAGTTAAAGTTCTTTCATCAGCAAATGACATACTTTGTATACTTTTGTCAGTTTTCTAAAGATCGATTAACTTTCGTTTAAGAGAATATTCAAGATGGCAATCTTAATGATGCTGCCTAAGGTTCCCAGAGAGTAATACTTCATCCTGGTTAGATGTCATGAAGTAGGTGGCAATGCTTTAACCATATGTATGTTGTTGGGCCAAGAGCCTCTTCAATCTTTGTCAAGGGGAGAGCTAAACTTCTCTCCTTTTATATAAGTCATGTGTTCATTATTTATTTTATTGTTATTTTATTTTATTTTTCATATGTATAAGTGTATTGTCTGCATGTATGTGAGTGCACCAAGGTCGTGCATTCCCAATGCCACAGAGGTCAGGCAAGGGATTCGGATTCCCCTGGAGCTGGAGTTAAGGATGGTTCGTAGCCAACCTGTGGGTCCTGGGAATCAAACCCGAGTCCTCTGCAAGAGCAGTCAGTGCTTAATGGCTCAGCCATCTCTCCAGGCCCTCATGTGTTCTTTTTTAAGCCCACTGAGTACACTTAGTCCTGCCTATATCTGTGTGTAGGAATAACTACTGGGGTAATTGTAGGCTCTCAGAAACCACATGCCTGAAGAAACTGGACTCCATTCCCCTATCAGTCATCAATTGTCATCATGTCCTTACATAGAAGTCATAACTCATGGCCAACTCCTCATTTCTTGTTCTGGTTTTGTCTGGCTTGATTTTGTTCCAGTCTTGTGCATGTGTTTACAAGCACTGTGAATTCATATGTGCAGCTTCCCTGTTGTGTCCAGAAAACACTGTTTCCCTATAGTCATTTACCACCTTTGGCTCTTCTGCCACATCTTCTAAGATGATCTTTGAGGTCAGGAGAAGAAAATACAATATATATATATATATATTCCATTTATTGCTGGCACAGCATGGTCTTATTTTCTGCATGTTGACAAGTTACAGGTCTCTGAGTTAATCATCTGCATGAAGAAGCTTCTCTGAAGAGGACTGAGAGATGTACTTATCTAATGGCATTAGGATAAGTCACAGGTTATTGGCTCTGATAATTGTTCCAAGCATGGGTAGCACTATCATGGGAAGAGAACCTTAAATTGAATCAGAAAATGGTTGGTTACTCCTATAAGATTCATGGCACTATTGCACCAGCAGCATGTCTTACCTGGATAGTCATTTTTATAGCTCACAGGGATCACAACTGGGTAAATGTCAGTGCTATGCATAGCATCTTCTAGTATTATGAATGCTGGACATTGGATGAAGTCATCAGTTAGTACCGGCGGATATCTCCATGTTCTATCATTTAAGTATGTCATGTCTTCAATAATGAATTACCATCAGTTTCTGGAGCACACTAAGTCAATGTCTATAGCCCTTAGTATTTTGTGTTCTACAGGACACCACTAAACAACAAGTAAAAAGAAGGTGGCACATTCTGTCATTGGACATTTTACTTTGGTAACTTATATTGTCTGTGAATGAAATGGACCTCCACTATAGTCTACCTCCATTTAAACATATATATATATATATATATACACATATATATTATATATATTAGGAAGTTTGTATAGTGGTAGGTTTTTATAATAATTTTGGAAGGTCTTTAGTGATAGTTATCCCTCTCCCATCTTCCCACCTCTACCAGGCTCTCCACTCCCCCACTTAACCCTTCATGTCCCATTATTTCCCTTCCCCATTTATCAGTCTGTATTTTATCTCCTGTCCTTGAAACACATCCCCACCCACCAGTGGTCCTTTACTATATTCCTTACCACTATAAGTTTTCCAAATGAAACACACATATCTAGATATTCAAAGCTAGCATCCATAGATAGGAGAAAACATGACACATTTGTTTTTCTAGGTCTGGACTCCCTTGTTCAAAATAATTGCCTCTAGCTTCATTTATTTCCCCCAATGTTTTATAATTTCATTTCTCTTTAATTTTTCTAATTTTATGAGTAATTTCCATGTATTGGTGTATAAGTACAATTTACTGGATAGATTCTCTTTCCCTGTTTGTACAATACTTCCAAAAAGTTTTAGATTTCTAAACAGCTGTATTCCTGTCAAGTTGCAAGTTTTTTTCTATACAAAACTACATTTATTATGAAGGCAAATGCTATGAAACTATCTGTACTTTAAAAATGATTGCTAAGAATCAAAAATTCGTTTCTTATAATTTCTCAACTTTAAAATGTAAGGGTATCACACTGTAATAGCCTCCAAACTAATTTAAAAACACTAAACTAATTATTAGTAAGCACTGCATGAAGAAAGTAAAATTATTTTCTCAATTAGAAATATAAAATATTAGTTTAGCATGGGGACAGCTCTTCTAATGAGTTTATAAACTTCACATTAATTACATTATTACACACAGTTCAAATACAAAAGAATCAATATTTTAACTCTAGTATGAAATGCATCTTTAAAAATAAGAAAAATAAGTTCAATTAATTAGTAAACACTATACAATATAACTATGATTTATTTTTCAGTTAATTGCACAGCAGTATGACTACAGTTTTCTCATGGCTTTCAGAAAAGAAAACACAGAAACTTATAGCAGATAAGACTCAATTTATTGAAATAATTGGCATCTTAAGATTAATAAAATTACTACTCATTTTGTCTTATACAAAAGTTTGCTATGGCGTGTATGAATAGCTGTGAGAGCTGCTTACAGTTTACTCTAAAGTGAGCGTATTTGCTCATTATTATTCCTTCATTCCACCATTTAACCAAGTTGTACCTTGTCTGTCAAACACGATTTGTAAAATAAAGTTAATAATATTTATCATGTTGAAATTTGTGAGGAACAATAAACAAACGAAGTCGTTGCTCAACACAGGTACACTTAAACACCTGCAGGGAATACAACATAAACATAAAATAAAAATAACAAAATATTTAAAAAAATAAATTAACAATAAATCACATGTCTAATCTCAAGATTATAATTGAATTTCTTTTGTCTTTTTGAGACAGGGTCTTCCTGTAGCCCCAGCTGTCCTGGAACTCACTATGTAGACCAGGCTGGCCTTGAACTCACAGAGATCCGCCTGCCTCTGCCTCCCAAATTCTGGGACTACAGGCGTGTGCCACCATGCCCAGCATATATTTGAAATTTTATATTGCTAAGGTTAGTATTACCCCCCTATATAATTTGCTTTACTTATAAATTAATTTTCTTCCCTTTCTAAATTGAGAGTAATAGAGAAAGATGTCTAAATGTTCATTCTAGACATTTTTATCCAAGCACATAAAATCTTATTTGATCATTTAATTTTTTCTTCTCTGTAATAAGACTATAAAATCTCAGTGTTTCAAGGCTGCTAAACAATGCCCATAGAGTTGACAGACTAAAGAATGATTGTAAAGTGATGGAGTTAGATACTATAAGTCACACAATAAATCTGACTGAAGCAGAACTAGAATGTTAATGAAAGGCAAAAGTCATTTTCTTACCTGTTTCCAATGTGCAGTTCTTGCCCTAGTGGCACATATGTTACAACCAGGATATTGTTTTCTAATTTATCTTCAGAAAGTCACTGAACTGACTATGATGTTTTCTTTAAGTAGATAGTAAGTTGATTGTTTTATTTACAAATGCATACCACCTGGAAAACAGGAAAATCTTTTTTATTAAGTGCAGTTTTACAAAATGAAGTAAACAGTACATTAATTAATATTTAAAGGTTCAATATCAGTTAGTATGATGGTTTGTTATACTTATTGAAGAATACAGAAAGAATTAATAAAACTAGGTATCGCTCACAACCTTACTTATTTGATTTGATGATGGATAATAATTTTTCTCAATGAGAAGGGGATTTCTTCTCTGCATCACTTTCACAGTAATTTATTAAAATTCAACTTCTACAGATGTTTTGATGGGATCATCAGCATATCAAATCATAAGTATGTGTCATATATCTTGTTATCTTTACTCTATCAATAAGCAAAAAAATATGTAGTACTGGAGTGAGGATTCAGACTCTGCTCCAGCTTCTCAACCAATTCCTCCACCCACTAAATGAGAGCTCTTTGGATTCCTGTCCTGAATCTGTTGCACAGTGTGGGGCTCATTCCCTTTTTATGGTATCCCTGTCTTCATAATGAGGTGACAATACAAATATTTATTATTTTATCAAATTTATTCCTATTTAACAGTGTGTGTGTGTGTGTGTGTGTGTGTGTGTGTGTGTGTGTGTGTATGTGTATGGATAGTCTTTAAGTCAGCTGGTGGTTGACTAGTGACATACTACAGCCACCATAATTGGTAAAATAAATTAAGTGGAGAACACAAGTTGTATTTCACTAACACTAGACTTTAAAAGATGTAGTCAGTACAATGTTTGATATTGAATTGTAATCTCTAAAACAACTTTTGCACTGATATTCACATATGTGAATGCATAAATGTAAGATGAAGGAAAAGATGCTAGTACAGGAAATATTGATACTGAACTAAAGATACTGGAAAGATAATTTAATATTTTAAAATTTATTTACTTTTATTTTATGGATATGAGTGTTTTGCCTCCATGTATGAAACACATCCATGTCATGCAATGCCTGAGGAGGCCACTAGAGAGTGGCAGATCCTTTATACCATTGTTAGTCACCATGTGGGTGCTAGGAATGGAGCTAGTGTTCTCTCCAAGTGCAGCCAGTGCTCTCAACAGTGGAGCCATCTCTTCAGGCCAAATGTTAACATTTTAATAAAAGAAAGGCCTAATTACGTTAATAAAATGTATCAACATTTTCTTTAAAACTAGTTTAATGCTGGGCGTGGTGGCACACGCCTTTAATCCCAGCACTCGGGAGGCAGGGAGGCAGAGGCAGGCAGATCTCTGTGAGTTCAAGGCCAGCCTGGTCTACATAGTGAGTTCCAGGACAGCTGGGGCTACATGGGGGACCCTGTCACAAAAAGACCCCCCCCAAAAAAAAACCAAAAAAACAAAAACAAAAAAAATCCTAAAGGCTAGTCTCTCTGTGTGTCCAGTTGTGGAACTCTGGAATAGTCAACCCTCATCAAAGAAGCTTCTTTCTACAACAGATGCAGATGTTTACAGTGAGACACAAGAGTTAAAAATACAAATAAGTGACTGTGGGGGTGCTGAGGCCCAACTGATAAATTTAAAATACAACCTCTATACCTAAGGCGTGGGAACATAAGAACATCACCGACAAGTGAGAGGAAAGATTTTAAGAGACAGAGGCCAAAGATGACTGCT